GAATTCCTAGATCAGGATCTGTGCCAGTGAGCAGAAGTTAGTAAGCCACCAGACAGTGACTGATACATTTTGGCATCATTTCAGCTAGTTGTCTGTAATGGAAAGGGATTGGATACAAAAAGCCAGAAGGTCTTTTTCATTGCTGAGTTCTCATTTTCAGTGTAATGCTACTAAATACGCAAAATCTCTCCCTGTTGCACCTTTTTCAATTCATCTTTTCTTCTGCCACCTCAGGTGTTGAGTTATTTCAGTGCCATTTATGACCTCTTTCTGCATGCTACAGAGAGAAGGATGCCTGTAACTTTTTGTGACAGTGACACAGCACTGACATTTGCTCCCACTAATCCAGCAAACAGTGCAAGATGTACTTTTGTAAGCATAAATGATTAATGCCTGTTTCTTTGCTTTGGGATGACTGAAGTACCTTTCTGTACGTGCCCTTTGTAGCTGTGAACGTATGTGCCCTCGGGAGCCACGAGTGCCAGCAGGTCTGTGTGAGCAACGGCAGATCCTACCTTTGTGACTGCTATGCAGGCTACACTCTGAATCCAGATAAGAGAACCTGCTCAGGTATTGCTCTTTTGGTAAATGCATTCACCTAGAAAAAACACCACTTTTGAATGCCATATATGCATTTGAGAAGCTACTTTTGTACCTCTGTTGAAGCAGCGAACATCTCTATCTTTTTCAATAATAATAAATCTAGTAATGAATAGTAAATAAAAATCTACTGCAAGTAATTGTGAGAAGCAGTTTGACTCCATCACTGTCCTTTTTGTTATGCCTACAGGTCCATTCATTAGGGCTAGATGCCAAAACAGAGCCTTCAGATGTAGACACTCTATAGATATTTTCTCCTAGCACTTATTCTAATTCCTTCAATTACTAGGGCTATTTCTGAGCTGATTCCAATTCAAAATATTTTAGAAAATGCGAATATGCACTGCATCCCAAACTATTTTTTGTTAACAATGAATTGTTTCCCTAACATGCCTCTTGCAGCTGTGGACACATGTGCACCTGGAAGACACGAGTGTGATCAGATCTGCGTGAGTAACAACGGATCCTATGCCTGTGACTGCTATGAAGGCTACACCCTGAATCCAGATAAGAAGACCTGCTCAGGTAAGAATTAAAGGCTACTTTAATATATGAAACTCATGGAGATCTGGACATGTTTTCTGTGAGTTACGCTCATTTTTATACTTGAAAAATTGCTTATAGACATCGATTAAAAAATGCAATTTGGCACTCACCTACCATTTTATGGTCTTCACAGTATTTCATAAACATTGCTTAAGCCTTGAGAGAGGATTAACTTATGTTGGAGATGCTCACAAGCACTGTGTCTCCACTGAAAGTGAGTGCCACTAGTCCACAGAGAACCTCAAACCTGATAGTTTTACCATGCCTTCTCCATCTCTCCTGTTGAAGCTCAGGTTCTTTTACAGGATTCACCATGGTTACTGCTAATATTGCAAGAAACAACTCTGCCTTGACACGTGGCAGGTTATTACTCACATCAGTGTGGTGTTTTACCCTCATATGTACTGGGGATATTCATGACTCCTAGAACTGCTGCTACAAATCATAATTGCATGAGATGTGGTATAGTCTTGTCTTGCAGTCCTGGTATCTGCCTCATCCATTAAATAATTGGGAACTGAATTTTGTTGTCTGCAGAATAATACAATGATGTATTAGGACACTGACTGAATCCTAATTTGAATCCTAATTAAATTGTATTTATAAATGTTGAGCATTGGTCAAAGTACTGCTTACAAGATGGAGAACTGGACTGTAGGTTATTTTCAGTCTGCATCACCTGAACACATTCTACTCCCTAGGACTTCATGGTATTTTCACACCCGTGCAGCATGAATTGCCATATCCAATATGTGACATCTACTATCTGTGTCAGAAAACTCTTCAGCAAAGCAGCACAATGGAATGAGATGAAGAAGAGCAAGGACTGTGCTGGGAGACACATTACAGTCTATCATCATGAGTGTGATTGCTCTTTCTGGTAGATGTGTTGGGACCTTAAAAAGTACTCCAGCCGTAGAGCTCGAGGATGGAGGGAAATGTTCATTCCCAGTGCTGGTCTCTTGTGGAGAACAGGAGTACAGATGTAGCTGGTACCTCAGGATGTGCATACAAATAAGTAGTACCAACAAATTAATATGCATTCTATATCATCTTCACTTGATTAGGATTTGAATTTCATTTCTTTGGATGTCTCACTGATGATGTATTTACACAAAATCCCTTTTTTCCCACTTCCACTATAATCCCTTTTCTTACTCCATTTTGTGTGATGAAGTGCTGAACCTAGTCTTCCACTTCCAGGTGATTGCTAGGCAAATTGCTGCAATTAAGTCACAGGTCTCACATCTCAAAGAATTGAAGCCAGAGGGCCTTTCTGCCTAGTTTAGGAGCTGATTTTGCAAATATAGTGCCTAAGATTAACTCTCACCTGGCATTATATAGAGGCAATAAACATGTGAAGGAATGGGAATTCAGTTAGGCATCCCCTTTGTAAGTCTAATCCTGAACCTCATTTCATAGCACTGATTCTCCTCCTGCATAGTCAAACTTTAGATTTCTTTTCCTAACATGCTTGTTTTTTTTTGAATCTCATTTTGCAGGATGCTGCTAATGATTTTTCAGCCATCCAGATCTTTGTGATAAATATATCAAAAAGATGTGCAAAGAATGATGCAAAAATAGTCTAGGACCAGAAGAGGGTCTTTTTTTCTTTTTCTTCTTTCACTTCCCTTCTCCTTTCTTTCTTTTTCTCTCTCTTTTCTCTCTTTGTTCCTCTCTTTCTCTCTTCCTTCCTTTCTCCTTCCTTGTGCCTTGCTGGGCCTCCTTATTGCAAAGATACCCAAATATAGACACTCCTTCTCAGCTTGCCCTTTCAGAGTTGACGTGTTAAATTTGGCAGAAAACTCCAGCCTCACACATAAAGTGCCCACTTTGTAACTGGCAGTGGCTGTCATGTCTTTTTCTTTCAGCAGCCACATACACTTCTCTGTTTATGGTCTTTTCATTCCATAAAACAGAGAAAAAACTCAATTAAAGATGAAATAATGCCAAATAGTCTCTTAAAATCCTGATATTTGTTCTCTGAAATTCCGTTGGATAATTGTTTTGTAACTGTGTCCCTGCTAGTCTCATTTCTATTGCAGTCTGTTACATCTGCAAAATAGTGTTGCCAGTATTCCAAAAACTGTATGAATTTTATGATGCTGATTGCCAGATAAAAACATGCTCTGTGTACCCTGCTTTGGGTAATAGCATGCTGATGTGCAATAAAAACATCCTGGTTTGAATCCCAATGAAGATACATTTGTGAATGGAAATTACTAACACCAGCTCTAAAGGCTGAACTTTGGATATTGGTTAATATTCTTCTCTTCCCAAATTCCTCCTTCAGCTGTTGACATGTGTGCACCTGGAAGGCATGACTGTGAGCAGGTCTGTGTGAGAGATGATCTGTTCTACACCTGTGACTGCTACCAAGGTTACACCCTCAATCCAGACAAGAAGACTTGCTCAAGTAAGAGCAGATTGCTGTTCCCTTTCCCCCCATGCCCTCCCCAGCTAAATGCATGTAGCACAATAGCTCTCATCAGCAGGTCAATGTATTTGGATCTGTCTGAGAAACTTTCACATGCATTCAGGTGTTATAAGACAGTTCTATGTCAGTCTGCCTTTTTTACTTTGAGAAAAATTCAGAGATATAAAGAACTTCAGATGTAAAAATGCTAGTAACTGCTTACCATTTGGTCTTTATTATCTTATAACTAAAGCCTTCGGTAATTTATGCAATATTCAGCAAAACGAACTGAGAAATAATTGAAGAGAGAAGAGTTGGGGTCAGTCATACGCTTCACAGTACTGTGAAATCCACACCATGCAAGACATTTTGAGGTGATGTCCTCCCCACCAGACTGAATTTCATGTTGCTGCTCCTTTCTTCATCTTCTCAGCAACTTTGTGTTACAGTAAAAATGTAACAGTTTCAGAAGTGTTCCTTTCCATCCCGATCTCCTTACTGTAAGGTTATTGTGTGCTGAAGCTTTTCCTAGTGTGCTTTTGAAGCTGATGCGGCACTTCACACCTAGAGGGGTTAGGCAGATGCAGTCAGAGGGAGAAAGGACTGAGCTATCGCTTGAATTAACTAATGTATTAATCCCTAGAAAACAATTAGTTAATCTCACTGCTCCAAGGCAATATCAATTACATATCTCAGTAGCTCCTAGTAATATTCATACAGGATAGGCTTCCAGCCTGGAACAGCATTGGCATTGGGAAGCATTAAAAGAAGTTATCTTGTTTTTGGATGACTGTGTCTCCAAAGTGCATTCTGTAGGAATGGATGTATGTGCACCAGGAATCCATGACTGTGAGCAGGTCTGGGTGATCGTATCCCTGTGGATCATATAGGAGGTGGATCATATACCTGTACCTGCTATGAAAGCTTTACCTTTAAACTAGATAAGAAAACATGCTCAAATAATAATTTGATGATTTTTTTTCCCAAATATGTTTATGTATTGAAGCACCTCTCTTTAATGTGTTATATCTTTTTAGAAATGTTCTACTTACTCACAAACTCCCTGGAAGTATAATCCCTTTTCATTCTTCCATGCTTCTTTCCACTAATGTTTTGAGCTAGTTTGGTCCTTCTTGTTTACTTATAGCAGTTACTGTACTTAAAACTACAGTTGACTCTTACCTATCACCACAGATTTAAGGACTCACTGTATGTAAAAATATAATCTGTTATAATCTGCATTTCCTTATGAAATGGGGATAACTGGGGGGATTGGCAAGGCAGAGTTCTGGGCATCTATCTCTGGGGTGTGGGTCTCAATTTTGTACCAGCATTTGGAGGATGGTGAGGGCCCCAGATGGGAACAGAACTGGTGTTAAAACTACTGCAGTGATAAAACCTGTGTTCTTGTCCATTCCTCCAAGCTGAGAGGGGCATCAAACGTTGGCAGAATCTCTTCATAATTTGATGTAAAATCATAAGTTAAGTTGGGTTGGAAGGGACCTTAAGAGGTACCTAGTCCCACCCCTGGTTCAGAGCAGGAATAACTTGCCATTACTTCAAATGGTTAAAGATCCTATGTAAGAGCACAGTTAAAACAGTTGGATATAATCAAATGCCATCTGCAGAAATAAGAATTTCTTGTAGGTCTGGACTTAAACATAAATGCAGTGTAAAAACACAACTTTAGCATATTTTGTGTGACTTGTTGGGCAGCCCAGTGGCAACAGGAGTATCCCAGATTTTGAATATCAAATACTGGAAGATTCTCAATTTCACAGGACTGCAGAAGACTTCAGAGTGCCCTTGGACAATTGCCAAAGTTGGCTGGAAAAGTAATGTTGTTAAAACAGGCATAATCCAAGGAGGATCTGTATCTGTCGTTGGAGAATTTAAACGCAAACATAAAAAATTAACTGGGAGTTCATTGGAAACCAACCATGATGGTGTGATGTTTTGAACTGGCCTTTCTCCAGCTCTCTCTTGAACAGCTCTTCTTTGTACATTAACCATAAAGCCAATGGAATGTTCCAAAGAAGGGAGCTGAACAAATACAGGTTCAGTGGAATCAAGGAGACACCAGTTTCAATATTGGCTCTAAGACATATGAATTTCCCCACTGCTAGAAATGAATCTGTTCATAGACTTTGCAGTTTCCCTGCAAAACGGGAACATCAATGGCATGATTGATTAGCAAAAAAATAAACAGAATGCAGTTTCCCTGCAAAACGGGAACATCAATGGCATGACTGATTAGCAAAAAAATAAACAAAAACAATTCAGAAAAACAGATAAATGGTGTCCAGGTATAATACTGCTATTGTTTAGCTGTTACAATGCTCACACACTGTTTGGCATTGATCAGCTATGCATTTATATGTCAACAGAAAAAAAATAAATTGAATAATCTGCTGCTTTTTCATGCAAAACGGGAACATCAATGGCATGACTGATTAGCAAAAAAATAAACAAAAACAATTCAGAAAAACAGATAAATGGTGTCCAGGTATAATACTGCTATTGTTTAGCTGTTACAATGCTCACACACTGTTTGGCATTGATCAGCTATGCATTTATATGTCAACAGAAAAAAAATAAATTGAATAATCTGCTGCTTTTTCAAGCAATGTAAAAAAACATGTATGAAGAGATGGGTATTATATACAGGTAAGACTTCTTGATAACTTGTTGAAAGGGTATTTATAGGCCCTCTTTTAAGAAGGCTTTGGAAGCTTATTATTCTGGTCTCAGATGTAGACTCTGACCTCCCTACAGTACCAGTGCTTCAGTAGCTGTTGATATGTTTATTCTCAGCCTGCAGCAAGTGGTGCAGCCTTAACTTACTCACTTTATGGAATAGGTGAGGTTGAGTTGCCTTTCATGCAGATAAGAACTCAGAACCATCAGCTGATGCCTGATGTTGTTATACCACAATGAAATTATTGTCTCCCTGAGCCCTTTGCCATCATCTCTGCTTTTGTGGTGAATTATGGAGAAAACAGAAGTCTTGAGGATAGCTGAGGCTGGTCCCCTATAAGTCTGGAAGACTGAGGTCAAGAGCTAGAAACAGATTCACTGGAACCACTATGGAGTATGGCAATGCTTGTTTTCTCCTTCTTAAGAGACTGATAACTTCTTTGTCACTGGCTTCTCCAGTGATATTGCTGTACCTTTCTACTAGATCTTAAATTTACTTGGGCCTATTTGAATGATGTTATTCCCTCCAACCATATTCATGTGACACTGGAACGGATTTGTGTCCACACCTCTTGAATCAAAAATGATACTGCCTATGCATGTCTATTGCCAATGTTAGAAACCAAGAGTACTTGTGGGGTGATACGCATTGATGATTTAGCTGAACTTCTGCTGCTTAGTATTTAAAATTAATACATGTGTTCCTGATTTAATTTTTTTGGTATAATTTACCAAGGGATAAATTCAAGTCTTCTAATTTCTTCCCTGAGACTTAGGTATCTAAATTGTAACCACATCTCAGAAACTCATGCAAAGCGATGAATTTCTGACACTGACCAACTCTTTTTATGTATCTAAGTCACTACAAGACTTTTGAAGCCAAGCCTTCCTGCTTAGTTTCAAAACTCCTGAAGACTTAACTTTGGACTAATGCATTCTCATATGTGCTGTGTTTAGGAGTGATGGGTACCCCAAATGACATTACAATATAGCTTTGACAGGGCAACAGCCTTGATTTTGTACAGATAGATATAGATTTAGATTCTATTAGATACATTTAGATATGAGGAATAAATCCTTTGTTATGAGTCGTGAGGCACTGGAACAGGTTGTCCAGAGAAGCTGTGGATGCCCCATCCTTCCAGTGTTCAAGGCCAGGCTGGATGGGTCTTTGAGCAGCCTGGTCTAGTGGAAGGCATCCCTGCTCGTGGCAGGAAGGTTGGACTAGATGACCTTTAAAGGTCCCTTCCAACCCAAACTATTTTATCATAGAATCATTCTTCAGAAGAGATGCTCAACAAGTTTAGTCATGGCCTTAAATACATTCAATTGATTAGATTCTGTCTACAGTGATTCCAGTGACCTTCCAGTGTGGATAGTCTGATGGTCAAAGTACTGCTTACAAGATGGAGACCTGGACTGTAGGTTCTTTTCAGCCTGCATCACCTGAACACATTCTACTTCCTAGGATGTCCTACCTTTTGGGATGGGGATATTCTGGATGAAAGGGAGAGATAAGAGGTGAAGGGAATATTCACTTTAGTCTAGCAATTAGAGTTGATGGGGGAGGCTGGTTGGTCCCTGCACCCAAGCCTCTTTTTATATTTTGCTCAATAATGGTCTAATTTAAAGAGTGCAGAGAATCCAGGTGGGCAGGCAAGGAACTCCCTGCTCTGCCTTCTTCTCAGTTAGAAACAAGCTCTCTCTTCCCTGCCCTGTTTCTGGACTATGGCACTCAGGTCTCTGGCTACACACCAGCCCCTGTTCACTGCCCACCTTCTTTCCGAGCTGCCCTGGGTTGCAGTGCTTGCTGTAGTCTCACAGCATGGGTCTGTCTCCTGTTGCAGAATCAAGCATTTTCCTGGGATTTAAATGTTTAATAATTGTCATAAATATTCTAAATGCTGTTTTCTCTCTTAGGAGCCATAACGAGCAGTCTCGTAACAACCGAAGAGTCCTGTAAGTGTGAAGCCATAGCTGCCCTCCAGGACTCAGTCACCTCACGCCTTGAAGCTTTGTCCACAAAATATATCCTTTGTCTTATATGATCTCCTGTATTCAGCACTTTGCGGGTATTTTAGAAGTAGCTGTTTTGATATAAAACAGGGATGAAACATGCCTCAAAACAGGAATTATTTTCATGGTGATTTTAGAAATGTGACAACAGTTCCATTAGCTGTGGTATTCCCCTGCATCCAACCTCTGCAGGCAGGCACTGTCCCAAGTGATTTTCATATACCTTATTTTCTGTGAAGATGTGTGATCCAGATGCTGTGATATAGGAGAATGGGAGAGCCGCAAGGCAGGGTGCTGATGCTGGAGGCACTAGGCAAGTCTTGGGTCCACAGGACATCTGAGGTGCAGGCTGGTGGGTGCCAGCTCTGCTGCCCAGGAATTTGCTGGCTTCATTTGCTGCAGTGCGGTGTCTGCAGCAATGAAGAGAAATGTGGTCAGCCCCTGGATTAGACATTCCACAAACACGTGGGAGAGAAAAAAAAAACCCCAGCATAAAAAGAGGAAGTGATGAACTCTGTGGTACCACAGCAAACCTGAATGCTGGAATAAAAGCCCTCAGATGGCATGGCAGGAACTAATAACTTGACATTAAAGTTGGACAAGATGTGGTTCATCGTAAGGCATCATTTTTAGTAGTGAGACTGATTGATCACTATTAGAATTTATCAAGGATTGTGTCAGATTTCCTTGCTGGAAATTTCTGAGACTACATGCTATTTTTCTGTAAAAAGGGCTCTTGTTCAAATAGGAATTGATTTAAAAGAAACATTCTGTCTGTGTTTGTCATTCTGATCCCTGGGGCTTCAGAATCAAGGAAGAGTAGGCTATTTGGGATTAATCAAAGAACGAGAGCAAGCTAGTAAGTTTTATACATGAACTCATCATTTACACAGATAAAGGAATTGCTCAGTTTGCCAAAGTCTCAGAAGGCCAAATGAAAACTTCTGCCAAGGACACAAGACTTTCCCAGTTCTTGAATAAATTCAAAGTTATTTTTATGAGTTATAATGGCAGATCTCTCTCCTTGCAGTGTGCTTGGAGTTCAGTTGATCTGCCTGGGAACAGTGAAGACTCTGATTTTGCTGGATTATAGTATGTAATGCTAGGGAATCTAAGTAGTTAAAAGTGAACACCAAGATAATGAAACCTGTAATGTCATCTCAGTAGTAGCATGTCCTTCAGAAATCAATCTTTCTGCTGCAAAGAACTAATGTTAAGCAAGAAAATTAAGTGGGTTTAAGCTAGGAATAGACTTTATAACAAAGAACTGAGTCTTTATTTCAAAGTCATTCTTTAGTGGGCCATTTGTATTCCTAGCATCCTTTAAAAAAAAACCTGGAAAAAGCATCAGAGACAATCACCTGCTGCTCCTTAGCCATGAATGTCACTTGGTCCAACTCCTAAGAAATTAGGGTTGTTGAGATCATTTGGGAAGTTGCCAGACCTTGACAGATCTCTAAAATGTTTGGAAATCTCTGGTTCAAGCATGTGTTGACCTCATCTAGAAAGCAGATTGTTTGTTGAGAACGCAGCAATGAGAAAGATTATAAATAAAACAAACCTTATAGCCATCTACTTTATTGCCCTTAACAACTGACCACTAGACGAAGTGTCTGAGAAGCTGCAGGTGTATCAAGACAGACAGGAGGTTGTCTGAGCTATTATTCTACTGGATTTTAAAATAATCTTCCAGAATCAAACCTTTTTATTGATTTCAGCAAGCTTTACTTTGTTGCACAGCTTACAAAACAGCACTTGGTTTGTTATTATTGACAAATGTCAAGAAGACTTCAGGAAGACAACAGTCTTGAAAATAGTGATCCTGAGTATTTTCATGTACAGTTGCTTTATAGCCATAAAGCTACCCATACCTGCTGTGCTTCGGTTTGTACTGCAAGTGGTACAGCAGGTACTGCTTTTCTGCAGTAACTGCATTTTTTGTTCACTTACTTCAAAGTAAATACAGAAAAAAAATTGAATGGATACAGTATATCACATTATATAAAAGTATGAATTGTCAAGGCAGAGTGAAAAAATGTGCCTATGTCTTCTGTCCATTAAATGGGAAAGTAAGTTGGGATCTTGTAACTTATTTTAATAAAATAAAGTATAATATGCACACTGGTGTTGGAAGGGTTTTTTTGTATACACACAAGGATATGTGTTATGAAATAAAGGGCTTAAAAGAAACGAGGAAACAAAACCTCAAAGATAAAGGAGGCATAAATGGAAGAAATTCACAGAATTAAACAGGATGCTACCCCCAAGTCACACAGCTGGAAAAAGAAGTGTTTGATTTTAAAATCTACAAACCCTTATTAATATAGGTAAAAGGTTTAACAGTAATTTCAAGTATTAAAAATGTTATTTAATGCTCAGAAGGACTATATAATCATAGAATAATAAAATTTTAGGGGTTGGAATGGACCATACAGATCATCTAGTCCTGACCTCCCCTGCCATGGGCAGGGACACCTCCTCACTAGACCAGGATGCTTAAGGCCTCATCCAGCCTGATCTTGACCCCTGCCAGGGTCGGGGCAGCCACCACTTCCCTGGGCAACCTGTGCCAGTGTCTCATCATCCTCACAGGAAAAAAACCTTTGTTTTTTTTTTAAAATCTAACCTAAACTCCTCCTCCTTAAATTTGAACCCATTACCCCTTGTCCTCTCCAGCTCCCTTGTAGGCCCTTCAGTATTGAAAAGTTGCTTTGAGGTCTCATACCACAAACTTTACTGAGACTACCTGTGTCTATAGGGCCTGTTGGATAAAACACAGAAACTAGCAATTAAAAAATGTAATTGTTAAAGGAAGCTATTAAATTTGTACATTGGCATTTATATCATCTAAGTGCTTTAGAAACTATATTTAAATTTGGAGTGAAAATGATAATGATTTTTTTTAATGGAAAAAATTCAAGGTATTTTCTATAGCCTTGCACTGTAATTGCACAAACATTATATCTGGTAGCTGGTTTGCCAAGGACATATTAAACACCTGTGCTTGTTTCATTCCCTGCACATAAAAGATACAACAACAAAAATTCAGTTACATTCACTGCACAGGGGAGTGAGACTTCAGACATGTCTATTCAGTAATGTTAAGTTGGAATATAACACTAAATAGCACAAGTGAACAGGGGACACAGATTCAGCACAGGCTAAAAGTGAGCCTAGGAACTCTCCAAGAATGCTGGATTAGGCTGTGCTTGATATTTTCTGATGTGTCTCCATACTGATACTAATTTTCTGTAGTTAGCATGGGACAACTTGGCTATGCTACACTTGCTCCCTCAAAGTGCTGTGTAGGCATATTTTTTTCTCTGTAAGTCTTGGAGTTTTATATCTAGCACTTCACTTACTTTCATGTCCTCTGCTTAGACATGGGTGTTATATGCAGATTTATAGGGCCTTTGTATGCTTTGGCCTCTGTAATTGGTGAGAATAAACAAGTTGTAGATCTAATGCAAGACTTTACAACTTCTTGGCAATTGGGAGTGGATGACATCAGTCCCATTTACAGTAAACCCAGATGTCAAATGAGATGTATAATTTTATATGGTAGTGGAAAATTGTCCTGCAGGCCAATATGTCTTGCAAGCTGTCAGCTGGGCAGGCTTTGTTTCATGCATTAGTATTCATAACTCCATTTTATGTTACAAATGATAGCATTTACATTTGATTCCTCTGAGTAATTATCTGTTTCACTTTGTGAGTTTGTGAGTACCAGGTAAAATTTCAAGGTGATATAAACAATTTATTTAAAATAGGACATACTGTGGTCCAGAAAAATTGGATTTGTTCCCCTGTGTGCAACAAGCCAATAATTACACACTGAAGAAAGTCGATTATTTATTTCAGAGTTGCATAAGCCTGGATGCTCGGTGGCATTCCACAAATCAAGCACACTGACTCTCAAAACTTTTTAAACTCAGTAAATCACAAAAATGTTGTCAGATTTCCCCCTGAATATAATCTAAATGCAGTACAGATTCTATTTCTGTCCAGGTACAGTTCATGAGTCCTGAGTCAGTTTCAGCTTCAAGGGTCCTTTCTGTTCAGATTGCCACAAAGTTGGAGGAACACCTTTGATCCGCGTGTAATGAATCCATGAGTACAGTCCTAAACCAGACATTAGTCCAGTCCTTTAATTTCATGGCTGTATGTGTGGTTAGCAGTACCTTGTGAGGTCCTTTCCACTTCTCACCTACTGGAGTATCTTTCCAGGTTTTCAAGTAGACTTGATCTCCAGACTTGAAAGAACATACCTGTTGGAGAATGGCTAAGAGAGCAGGAATATAATCCTGGGGAAGGCAAAAAAGAGCTAGGCCGCAGTCCCCTGGGAAAGTACAGACACAATCCTGGGAATGCAGCTGGGAATTCAGTGTGTACAAGCAAGGCTCTGGAGATAGTAACTTATATATAGATAGGGAGTAACTCAGCTGGGCAGATGGCAGATGGCAGGGGTAACTCGTCCTTGAGGGTGAAACAAACAGGTTCGAGAAAAACAGCTAGGAATGCACCCAAGCCTAGGAAAGCAGGAGATAAGCCTCACAGCTGCAGCTGTGAGTAAGGGGAGTACCTGAATGCTATCTTTAGAGCCTAGCCAATTAAAAGTGATGGATAATTGTACGCCTGCTTCTGCACTGTATAAAAAAGAGCCTGTCGGACAGTAAAGATGGAGCTTGCTGTATCATCCACATGGAGTCGGCCGCTTGCTTCCCCGCGCCGAACCTTCACCTTTCCCAACACATACCAGCAACTTAACTGAGACCAGTGTTTTGAGCAGCAAGTACCTGTGTAATAATCTCTGGGGTTTTACTTAAAGACAAGAGATAATCTGTTAAAGCTTTCTCCCCTACCACAGGCATCTGGTCAGCTTCTCCTGTCAGATTCATGTTATATGGTGTACCATATAGAACTTAAAATGGACTGACCTTCTCATGAACCCTAGGAGTTATTCTGATCCTCAGCAATGCTGTGGGTAATGCTTCTACCCATTTCAGTTGAGACTCCTGACATAATTTTAAAATTTGTCTTTTCAAAGTCTGATTCATCCTTTCTACCTGTCCACTGAACTGTGGCCTCCAAGGAGTGTGTAAGACCCACTTAATTCCAAGTGCTCTACTTCTTTAATGCTTTCAGACACAAAGTGAGGACTTCTGTCAGAAGACATTTCTAGGGGAACTCCAAGTCTAGGAATAATTTCTTTTAAGGGGACTCTCACCACCTCCCCAGCGTAATTGATAAAAAAGTATCCATCACAAGCAATAGATATTTATATTGATTACATCTGGGTAATTCTGAAAAATCAAATTGCCAACACTCTCCTGGTGTTATCCCTTTTCTTACCACTCCAGGAGGAGGCTTAGCCTGTATCTTCGGATTATTTTGGCAACATAACTCACACGTTAGCAACACTCTGCAATTAAAATGATTTTAACACCAACTGCAAAGTGCTTTACATACTCCACTAAGGCCTCTGTCTCCATATGTGTTTCTTGATGTATTCTAACCATATCGTGCTTCATAACTTCTGAAGCACCAAGATAATTTCTTTTTCTTTTCCATCATCATTAACACATTTGAATCAGACACCAATAACCTGCACTTCTTTCCTGTTTCGTGATCATTTCTCAATGAGAAAAATAAATCCACATATGGCATTTCATCCCACTTACCCAATCTTCTGCAAAACAGCAAAGTTGCAATATGGTATTATAATTTAATGTTCACATTTCTGGCTACTTTTCCTCATGGTCCAATTTATATTTTGGCCACTATAGAGCACAATATTCCTTTAACTTCCTCCAAATTTATCCAAATGATTCAAAACACATCCTAATGGAGAACTGCTGATTCAGCACAGTTTCTGAGTTGGCTTTATTAGTTTCTTCCTTATCTTGGGAGTTCTGCCAAATGTCCATGTGGCCCATAAATCCTGCATTCTTTGTGTCCACTATCAGTGTTACACACTTCTTCACAAGCGTTGTTAACCTCCCCCTAGGTCTGAGATGTCTGAAACATGTTGGGCCCTAAAATTTAACAAGGCAATTCCACTGACAAGTAATTTATTTTTCCAACACCTGGACATCCCTTAGAGCTTGTTAGCTGTTATCTGCTTCATGGATTAAGTCCCCTTTCTTTTAGATTATGCTTGAAACGATCAAACATGAAAGAACATCCTTACTTAAGAAAATTTTGACATATTCCACATTTTGCAACAGTACCAGCATGTCTGACTAACTGAACATTTTTATTTGAAATACAGATCTACTTGTTGACATGGAAGGAGTAATTATACTGTTTTAATTATTGCAGCAGTAGAACTTTCAGTCTAATGCAGAGAACTGCTAAGAAAAGAACTAAATTTGTTCTTTTGGATGGTATTTTAAAATTGTTTTTACTCTGTGTAGTATAGGATAGAATATTTTCATTGAAAATTACCTACAATAATTGTCTGTGGCCTGACCATGGGTGTTTTCTAAATGACCTTTAGCTATCTTATTAATCTCTAAAATACTTAGAGGGGTTCAGTCAGCTTTGCTTTATAGTTCTGCCTTACATATGTGCTTCTAAATTGGCATCAGTCATCAAAATTGGCATCAAGAAGCTTGAAGCCCAGTTCTCCTTGCTGTTGCATGTACATGTAACTCC